TGGAGCCAATAAAGTAGTGGTCCCCAAACCAATCCGCATGGCCCAGCAAAACTCCGTGATATATGTATTCCACTTTTCTTTTCCAATGGACATAACCTGGACTGTTGATGGGGTATGTGGAATGGGTTTGGTAGCACTGCAACAAATGTTGCCTTTAAAAAAAAAATACACTTTTTTTTTTATTTATATTATAAATGTGTTTTTACAATGTACATCTTTGTCTTTGTTTAGAGATGAAGTCCGTGAAGAAATCTATAAGAAAGGACAGTCCAAAAGAATCTGGGGAGAACTTTATAAGGTTTAAATAAAAAATAATTTATTTCTTTATTGTACATAATTGGCATCTAAAATTGTTACTACATGTAGAGTAATGTTTTCTGGTCATAATAACTGAAAATAACAGACCTATTTGTTCTCTGAATACTCAATTTTATCAGTTCTCAAACTTGGCTATTTGTGGTTTGAAATTTTAAGGCTGAATTTTAATGAATTGCAGGAACTTATCCTTGTAATTGTAACACTGTACTTTTGAAGCATCCATTCTAGTATTCTATCAAAAGTAACAAGCACACATAGAGCTCCATTAAACTTCCAGTTTTAGCTTGAGAAACTTAATTGGCTTTGACCTTTTTTTGCCTTAAAAAAACTGTTAAAAATGCATTTTGTTCCCGAAGATCAAAGCCTTGGAATTACGCTACCCAAATTAAAAACATAACTTTAGCAGTCCTGCACTAGTCATATTTGCCATAATATGTCACTAAAAATCGCATGTTCCCAATTAAGTTTTTCTTTTTCATATATATTTTACCCCAAAACACTGCACGAAATGAGTTGAAACAAATACTGTTACGTTCTGCTTTATACTGTGTGAGAGTTTCTTTGAAAAATAAAAATGTAACCCTCATTGGCTTTGCAAAGGGAAATATTAAAACAATACTTGGAGTATTAGAATTGTTTAGTCTGTCACCTTAGACCACATTAACAGAGTAAGGGAAACCTGGAAATAATTAAGATAAACGATTTCCAGAGCAAATAGTGTACTGGAAGTTGAGGGCTAATTTCAGATTGGTGTTAAAATATTCCATTAAGCATGCCATATGCTGTCCATTTTGATTAAAGGAACATTCCACGGGATTTTTTTTTTTAAATCCCTGTTTAGTAGATATAGCTCCAATAAACATTCATGCATTTATTTTTGCATGTTAACATTGGGGTTATATCTAAAAAAACAAAAAAGCTGATATACTGCCTGCAGCCTGTGATTTCCGCATCACAGATTGAAATGATCAATCACAGGCAACTCTTAGTCTGAATATCCGCCTCAAAGGGGAAGCTATAGAGGACCAGTATTTTAGGACACCAAGGTATAACAAGACCTCTGGACGTGGGCATGTGCGCACAGGCTCACTGTGCATTCAGGGAGGCAGTGGCAGGCATGCTCTATCAAAGCGTCCCTACCATTTCTGCTTGCTGAGCCGAGCTAGCAGAAGATGAAGAGAATCCCCAGCTTGAATTTACTCTGGGAGAGATTTCTTTATTTATTAAAAGTGCGTATTTCTTAAAAGAATAGGCATGTATATAAAATGCAAATGTATAGAAACTATAGGTTTCTAGCATGTATGCTTCGAGGTAGAAGGGCAGCTAAAACACCCAACCCAGAGTCTCTCAATTCCGGTTCAGTAGAAAGTACATAAAATAAGTAGAGGGTTTAGCACCTTGATGAATTTCTTGAGGTAAGTGTAGTCTCAGAGGTAGTGGTATATGTAAAAACAGAAGAATACAGCAGAATATAGTGTAGTATATCTTACAAATAGAATTGCACTTACAGTTTGTAGAGCAAAGGTAGCTCTGTCTGAATGTGCTTGGGCGGAACAATCATCGCCTAGAGATATTCTGTGTTTTCTTTAACGTGCTTTCATGCAGAGGAATTCCACCTAGGTATGGTGACCCAGGATGGTGTTCACCCCACCTTGGGGTCTCACAAGTTTGTTGGTAGCGAATATATAAAACCAAGAATTAAAGAAATATATATCTTGTGCTCACAGTGATTTTTTTTTTTTTGGTTGCAAATTTCTATTTAGTTTGTCATAGTCTTTTGGCTAAAAAGCCGTTTTAGTCCTATTTTAGTCATCTGAATTGTTTTAGTCGACTAAATCTCAAAAATCTTAGTCAACAAAGTTAACACTGCACTTTTGTTGTTTTTGTACATAAAAGAATAAAATTAAGAGAGGTACTCACAAATAGAGAGCAAAAAGTAGGTTTTGCTCAATCCACTGCGCTCAGGTGGTATTTTCCCCACCAAAGGAATATGAGGTCCCAAGCTCCACGGAAGGTCAGTGTGAAGTCCACAGAGGTTAGCAAATAGCTGCTTTATTTAATACACTAGTACATAAAATAATAAAAGCAATACAAAGTAGTAACATAACACTTAATGCGTTTCGCCACATCGGATTTTTCAGAAGAACACTTCTGGGAAAGCCTTTGTGGCGAATTGCATTTGTTTTTTCTATAGTCTCTAAGGGTTTTTATTGGTAATAATAATAATAATAATAATAATAATAATAATAATAATAATAATAATAATAATAATAATAAAAAAAAAAATAAAAATATATATATAATTTTATTTTTTATTATTTCCCAGCAGCATATTAAAATGAAAATGTTAAAGGGTTACTCCAACCATAAATGTGCAGTGTTTCACTAAGAGACACTGCACACACATATTTTAGTTTTCTGAGTTTTTTACCACGAAATTGAATTTTTATTTTCACGTTGTTGAAATCAAGCACAGAAATACAAACAGCAGGAATGGAAGTGAACAAATTTATTACACAAATGCTAATCCAGAAGGATGACTGTTATGTGTTGCAGCCGGAGGTGTATCTCCACCTCCAGCAGCTTTCATTAGCCAGCCAAGAACAATAGTTCTGGGTTTTATAATGTTAAATATGTGCATATTCCATACAAAGAGGTTTATTTATTGACTGAGAGCACTTACCTAACAACTGTTTGATCGCCTCCAGCTACTGAAACGCTGCAGAAGCCAGGTGCCATTCTGTTGGTATTACACAAGGCTCAGCACCTAGCATAGGCCAGTTAAGTGGCAAACTGTTGTAGAATTGCTTGCCTCCTCACCCAGGACTCGTGCAAGGATACTCCTGGCATTATAACTACCACAGCAGTCTGTAGTGGTTATGATGCCCAGAGTAACAGGGTTTTGTTTTTTTTCCGCATAAGTTTGCTTACATGTATGAGGAAAGTAATTTAGTAGTATATTAAGCCTTGCACTTCTAAAATCCTTGATATTTTTTCAGGTGATCGACTCTTCTGATGTCATAGTACAAGTGCTGGATTCCAGAGATCCGATGGGAACACGTTCCCCTCACATTGAAGCCTACCTCAAAAAAGAAAAGCCCTGGAAGCATCTCATCTTTGTCTTGAACAAGTGTGATCTAGTTCCTACATGGGCCACGGTAAGGCTACCACCACTTGTTTTGTATGCATCATGTATGCTCAGGGGTAATTCACCAATATCCATTCAGCTTTGTTCTCTTCAATTCTGCAAAGATTCCACTGAGATTTTATTTTGTCACTTCAGTGTATAAATGGATTATGTATTAAATGTCTTCTTCTATAAAGTGGTCTAAAGTACAGAAAATGGGGCAAACAATAAGGAAACCAGTTAAACCAGCAGGCACATTCTATTGGTGACGCTCCCTCTTTTCCATGTTTGCACCACTTCAGAACTATATATATGTGTGTGTGTGTGTGTGTGTGTGTGTGTGTGTGTGTGTATATATATGTGTGTGTGTATATATATGTGTATATATATGTGTGTGTGTATATATATGTGTGTGTGTATAT